AATCTACTAAATTTATTATAGCAAATCAAGTATCGATCATAAAATTAGGATTAATGGAAATGTTAAATTACTTAAAATTTATTAGTACTTAATTCTGTAAGGAGGCTTATATTTACTACAGAATTATCAATATTTTATTGCTGCACAACGTTTAATTTACTTCTTGACTTTTATAAACGAAATGATTTTATAAATGTTGAGATCCCTGTATCCAACTCGGCATTAAGGATCATTCTGAACAATTACGAGTAATATCGATCAACCAAGCGCCGCTGCGTTCGAACGGCTTCGAAGTGACAAAAAATCAGTACCTGGAAGTGGTTCCCCTCATTCCGTCCTGAGTGAGCATCGGCGCCACCATAAATCCCGTCTGCGAGGTGTCGCGCAGACCCGAGATCCTGTAGCCGAGCTCGGCCGCGGCATTCAGCATTTCCTCGGCGAAATACGGCCGATGGCCGAAGTAATCTATGGTCATCGGAGCGCCCGTATTGATCTTCTTGAACATCTTGTTCCTGGCGAACTCGGGACTGATTGGATTCTCCGCCCGTTCGAAGTACTCTTCGAGCTCCTTGTAGGACCAGCCCGGGTTACCCATCCGCTCCCATTCGTCGTAAATCGACGGGTGTCCCCGAACGTACATCATACCGTACATGCCACCGGTGCCCGAGACCATTTTGCCCCGCGGCCACGAGCAAACACCGCCGTTCTCTGGAACCAACAGACACAAGCGAATTAACCACCCGTTTGTACACCGCCGTTCTCTGGAACCAACAGACACAAGCGAATTAACCATACTTACGAATTAATTATACTTGCCTGGCTTACACAAAGTCTGTATAGGTCTTCCTTAATATCCTTTGCGACTGTATTATCGACAAAGCTATAATTATCTATTATAAGCAGTTTAACGTTGCTAGATAAATGGAAATTTATTGGGATATTTGTAGAAAAAATAATGAATTATAGCATTTTTAATATTTGCATCTTGCAACTCGATTTTTCAATCATTATATATTTATGCTTGAAAACTTATTTTTATTGCTGTAAATATTGCACGGTTCGTTATATGAATAAAGAGAATATGAATAAAGAGATCTTGCAGAGGTCTTGATGAAAGCTTATCGTTCCCAATCTTTTAGCCATCAATGCCTATTCAATGGTATTTTAAAATTAACAAACGATTATAAATTGCCATTTTCTCGAATATTTAGCAATTTTAATTCCTTCCTTATTCCCGATTCAGACAAATTAAGGCATTGCATACTAAACAGCTCAAGGCTATGATTAAAAATAAAGCATTGAAAAAGCTATTTAAACGAATATTCCTGAAACTCCTTTAACTCATATGCAGAAGAATATATTTCAATAATTAGAGTATTTTAGCTTTAGTATCTATTAAAATGTTCGATCTGTTTTTTTTTGCTTCGCTTTCATTATATGCAGGTGTAAGCATCATAATGTTTTTTTAATAAGAGTACTCATTGTAAGCTCACGAAAAGTCGATGCATTAAGTGAATTTAAAACCTTATAGGATTTTGTTCAATTTCATAAAAATCAAAACATTAAAATAATTCTCGTTAATAATTAAAATGTCTGCATGTACACAAATATCATTCGACTTTTTAATAAGCATTTACGAATTATAACTACCGGACGAACTATAAGCACCTGAGAATTGCATTAATATTTACATTAAAAAAATGATAAGTGTATATGATATTTTATTTTAATATGTTCAAACGGTACTTTGAATGCCCGCATAAAACCTTTTATAAACAAAAGTTGCTTTTAATTTAGAGCACAATATAAGCTGGTAATGTTCACCTTTCATCTAAATTAAATATATTCTTAATGGGGTATAATATAATTCCTGGCAAATAACTGTAACACTCACTGCTTAAAAAAATATTAAAATATACTACATTAACTGAAGGCTGTTTCATTGAAATTGTTGTGAAAGTTGAGAAAGAGAAAACTTTCGTTTCATTAACGCAGCCTCAAAAATATTACATAGATTAAAGATAATAGATTTAAAATAGATTTAAGATTAAAATTTTCAAAAATGAACGATTAATTAACGAATGAAAGATAAATCGGTTAAAATTCCAAAATCCAATCTAAGAAAATTTGAATTATTAAGTTATTGTGCTTGTATTAACAAAACAAAAAAAAAACAAAAACAAAAAAAAAATTAATTATTTATCTTCAGAATGTGTAAATTCATTTCTTTTGCCGAAGAAATATAATTTTCTAATATATAAATTAAATCTTTATCTCAAACTACAATCCCGCCCGACACGATAATTTACGCAAAACGTAAATCAGTAAGTTTACAAATATATGTTAATACATTCATTTATTGAAACCTTAAGTATCCCTTTATTAAATTAATGAATCGATCGACTTATAAGTGATAAAAATTAATCTCTATAAGAGTTCGCGAAGAGGCTTTTTCCTCGTTACATCATAATGAATCGTTCAATTCATAAATAATTAATGGCACAGTTAATATACTCGAAATGATAATAATTTGTAAAGAATTACCGAGGCAAGCGGTTGGGTAAGGTTGGGTCGGTTCAGTCAAATATTTCCAATCAAGAGAGGAATTTATCGCACTAAACGATAATCCCGGAAGTGAAGTTAGCGTTGGTTCTTCCGGTCCAGCTTCGACCAATAAAACTTGCCATTGCTGATTGTCGCTCAGTCTCTTCGCTATTATAGGGCCGGCAACACCCGCTCCCACAATAATAAAGTCAAACCTGCATAAATAATTATATGCTTGCTCACTGAATTGAATACTCAATCATTTTTAATACTGTGGCTTGAAAATTTTCTTTGAAAGAAGATTCTAGTACCTTGATTCGACGTAATAACATTATACGTTATACATAAAACTTGAATGATAGACATAATAATTTTTACTATAAATAAAGAGAAAATATTAATAAAATTATAAAAATAGAAAATTATAATAAGGGCACGTATAATTTGTTCGAATTTTGATTTAAAAAAAAAAAAAAAAAAAAAAAAAAAAAAATTATAAAATTTAAGTGCTCATAATTTTCATGAAATTAAAAAATTATATTTATACCTATGCTCCCTGCTTGCACATTCGATTGACGAAATATTTCATTATATTGTATTAATTTGACTGAAATAATCATTTTCACAAATAGCAGTATGGCATAAAACATTAAATACGTTGTTTTTATTAAATTTATTAGTATGTGGTGCAAATAAAAATAAAAATCTTTAAAGTAATATTTTTCTTTCACACCATACTATCGTCACTTGAATAAATTTATTTAAACTTTATATATTTCCCTTTAAATGAATTGTTCGTATACGTTATACGTAACATAATAATTTCGTATTATTTCGTTCATTAATAATTGATTGAAGCAGTTAGCAAATTACAGGCGTACCAATTAAGGAATAAAGAGACACGATAATCATTGCAAAAAGAAAAAATATATTATCGTAATAATTAACTTTAAATCTTTCTTTTTACCCCAATCTTTGAATATTTATACAGAGCTAGGAATCTGAGTCGAGCAAGAGAAATGTAAAGCAGTCAGAACATTAAGGAAATTACTAATTTCGTTATTTCACTATTAATTTTCTTATCAACGTTTGACTCTGTATCTGTCTGTCTGCCTGGCTCTGTGGGAGTGCGCCCGTGCCTACGTGTTTGTGACAGTTACCAGTCCCGGGGTGGAAGAGTGTCAGTCCCCGCCCTTCGGCAAGGGTCAGCCAGATCACACTGTGACATCACAAGCGTCTGCAACATCGTCATGAAGGATCTGTGTCTGCCGCAAGCCGAGTTCATATAGACGGTGTCGTTGAATTTACACTGACAGCATTGCCTATTTTGCAATTTATCCATAATCTTGGAATTATAATCATAGAACGAATCCACCTAAAATCGTCCAATATTAATATCGTAAATTTATTTTATGCCTATTAATATACAATTTACTTTTAAGATACCCCTACCTCCCTTTATTATACTTGTGACGTATGCTAGATAAGCGAAAAATCCGGACAATAATGCATTCGTTGTATATTTAATAATGGGCCTATACTTATTGATACTCTAAATAAAGAATTTATTGATTCGACTAAAAACCTCATTCTTACGATACTTTTATCTTATGTGATAACTTACATTATTTACTCCCAAGTTTGTCAAATGTAAGAATAAGTTATATATAATTTATTTCAAATTGTTATAACGCATGACAGATCGCATGAGCCAAATGTATTTAAAATGATTTGTTTAACTTGCCATTTATCAAATAAATATAGCTATGAGATTTGTCGGCGTCATCCGTTTGACAAATGGCTCCCCCCCCCCACCGGCCGTTTCAATGTGCGTTCATATATCATAAGACAACATCTAGCTTCTCTTCACGAAAAAATTGGAGATCAATGATATTGGTTCATTGAGATGTGTAATGAACAAAGGAATGAGAAGAGAGACAGCTTTATAAGTTAAATCAATTCAACTCTCTCTAGTGTATGGCTAATATACAATCCACGATAATTAATACAAATTTATTTGAACATATCGAATATATGTTAATTATCGTCAAGTCTTAACAAATTGATACGCGTTTTATTAATAAAATCCATTGCGTATAACTAAAAAGTGTTCAATTTGGAATTATTTACAGTCGTTTTACTAAACTGAAATTTAATATAAAAATACCTTATAAAACTAAACTAGAAACTAAATATATATGTATATATATATATATATATATGTGTGTGTGACAATGAAGCCACTAATTTTCTTATAAATAATCAATAACTGTTTCGCACTACTTGTCGTTAATTTAATAAGAAAAACAACATAAGAATAATGTAACTAGCGAGAAATACTTTCATCAGAGGTTTAAAAAAAAAATAAAAAGTTGAAACTGTTAATACCTACTACTTTATTTTCCATTAATAAAAATAGATATTAAATACTAAAAAGCTATTTAAATATAACTAAATTTGCGTGATTTAACATTAGATAAATATAAGCGAAAAAGATTATTACACTTACCCTCAAGCATTCATTAGTTAATATCCAATATCCAATAATAAGGAAGTAAATATTATTTTCACATAAAAGTGCCATGATCCAAACTGAAAACTCATAATGTATTCATTAATTGTTAAAAAAAAAAACTTAATTAACAGAGAAATTATTTATTAAATTATTTCATTCATTTATCAAATTCTTGCTAATTTGACAGTTTTTATTTTAAATTTTAACCTGGCTCGATTAGTTTTCAACCCTGAAAGATTAATTCGGACAAATTTGCGTATGTGTATGGGTGCAGGCAACCCATAATGTCATAATATAATAATGTAATTCTGCAAAATTCGTACGAATCATAATTTCAATATTACATGAATATAATTTTATAAAATGTAAATATTATCAATAGCCCATACCAAAACTAATACGAAAATTGTCGGTTTAATAGAACTGTATGAGATATAAAATTGTACAAAATTAGAATTCAAAATATTTTTGAAGATCTCTCATAATACAATGCAACGCGCCCATTGATAGGTCTCACTCCATAAATTATTTCCCCATATTTCTAAGCGCAAATAAAATCTATTATAATGTTCTTCGGTAGACGAGGGTATAATTTAAAAAAATTCTTCCGCATGTACGAGTTAATAAATCTACAATCATTTTATATAATGTATCTTGTAAAATTAAAGGTGACTCTTTAATCGTAGCTACTTACATGGTAGAATTAATTCTTCTTTGTATTAATGAGAATAAATTTTACTCTTGTGGGCGGGATATTTCTTCTCGTTTATTTTTTCTTTTACTCCATTCAAGTATCAAATAATTTGTTTAAGTTAGTTCAAGTAGATGAAAAATTTTTTAATTTATGATTTTTCACATTACAATAATATCCATTAATTTTGAAAATATTAAAAAATAAAATTTACGACTTAATATTCTTACAGTTGCGGATAATTTCTAATATTTCTTTGCTCTTTTAACGAATATTAAATTAAAAATTAGACATAAAAGTAAAATAAATTATATTAAGACTTAATATAAATCACAGTTAATGTTAGAATATTAATTTTGTTCTAATCTGAAAGAATGATCCAATTTTGTTTATACAATATGTAAAGTAAATCATATATAATATTGTATTTCTACTTCGAAATCTCGAAATGCAAATCGAATAAAAGGCATTAATTATTTACGTAATGGAATTGTGTATATCATATTACTCAAATGCAAATATACGTAATTGAAATATTTTTTGAATATCTAATTGGAGAGTTCTATATAAATAAATTATGCGATAGATGCATTTAGATTATATAAAAGTTTAATTTTTCTTATTATGATGACGAACTTCGGTAAACTTGAGAAAATAATATTTTTTAGTATTTTTGGCTATTTAACGATGATTATAAGTATATTGTCAACATATATTTAGCCACTTACTGTTATAATCTTGTAAGTTAATGAACAATTGGAGATATAATAAAAGTAATCTGTAGCAGCAGTATTAATTTATAGTAATAAGCGACTATAGAATGATGTATTCTATATACATTTTCTCTTTCTACTTTCCATTTACGTATTTCAAGTTTTTCTTAATAAAATTTTAATTAAAAATGGATAAGCTTATGCATATGGAATTGAAGAAATTACATTATCCTATTAACAATATTAATCGTTAATAATATCAGATACTTTATGTAAAATAATATTATACGATAAATAACCATTAATTCTAACTATTAATATAAATGTTTATGTAAATAGCTTTTCATTATCGGAAATTAAAATACCAGCTTTCTAAATATTTTGCATACTTCGAAATGTGTGTGTATATATATATATATATATATATATATATATATATGCATAAGTATGTGTATCTATATTTCTAGCGAAGAGTATAATTGTGGAGAAGAAATTTTAAATACGAATATAGAGGACACTTTTGTTAGATTATTTGCCTGCGTCCTATATTTAGATTTAATTTAATTTACAATATTAGTTGATGAGATAAATGTGAAAATAATTGAAAGCCCATTGGTCAAAGTCAATGAAATTCGCTAATATCATGAATTCAATTATTATTTAGGCATAAGAAAAGATGAGGTAATAGACGTTTTAAATAGGAAGAAAATGAAATTAAGTGTATAAGTAAATATAATGTTGTCTTACTTCAATTGTTCATCCTGTTAAATAAAAGGTAACTTAAAAAGTCTCGTTAAAAAATATTTGAAAAAGAGCGAAAGACACTTTTGGTGAAAGCCCGATTACACACTAAGACTTTATGGAAGCAACTGGGATGCAACTGCAGAGTCGATGAGATGCCAAGAGAATATATCGTCAGCTCACTGGCTCTGCTTTCGTAAAAAGTCGCGATAAGAGCATTACCCCCCCCCCCACTACCTTCATATTCTTCTCGGGTATTCGAGGTTATTTTTAATTCCTTTCTCATGATGAGAGAAATGAAAAAATCATCCTAAAGTAGATTAAGCAGTTGAAATTTGTAAGTAATTGTAATTATGTATTTGGGGCATTGTAGTAGTAAATGTACGAATTATATAGTACATTAAGTTCGTACATTATTCGGGCTGAGCAATTTCATTTTGGAATTTTGAAAAAAAATATGTCGTACAATCAATCAATGCTCTCGCCACTTTCATTGAATATAATATGCGAATATCTTACGTATACATACTCACAAACAGTGGATCAAACGTTGAATATTTTATGAATAATTCAGCGTGCAGAGATAGTTTAACAAATGCTTAAACTATATACGTTTTTTAATATATCTGTACGGAAATAGTCTTTTTATAAAACTGTAAATTATTTTTTATAACCATAAATTACATAGACAATGAGAATTGGAACGTTTTCAAAAATTCGCATAGAGCTTTGTTTAATGATCGCATAATGAAAACTTTTAAGAAACAGTTGGCTTGATATTCGATTGCAATTGTCCTCACTTAATTATCGATTAAACTATTCAAAAAGATCGAATAACGTGGATAAGATTCGAGTTGAAATTCATCATCAAATTAGATTTACTTGAATTTGCGAATAATCTTATTGGGCTGAAAATATAACATTTTATACAACATTATTTTACATACATATTGTTAATAACATAGATCGATAAAAGAAGAAAAAAATTTTTTTGCCTTAATTATCGAAGATTATTTAATTATTTTCGATGGATTTACTTAACCGAAATATTTTGAGGTAATTTCGGTATCGCGTCTGTTAAATAAATAATAGCAATAATTATATATAATTTCAAATACAACATATCATTTTCCTTAAAATGTAATTTTAGTAAAATAATCAAAAGTATTTGATCAATAATCAATATTAATAATCAATTTGTCGCTCGATCGCACGATAAAAGTTAAAACTCAACGATATTTCGTTTACTGTCGGAAGAATATTTAAATAACATATTTAATATTACATTAACCAAGTGATTTTTGCAAACAATCGTTATAATAAAACGCCAACGATAACAACGATTTATTATAATCTACAAGTCATGCGCAAATAAACGAAGAATCACATTAAGCTTAAAGATAAACTATTAAAAATAAAGAGAGAGAGAGAGAGAGAGAGAGAGAGAGAAAAGAAAAGAAAAGAAAAGAAAAAAAAACGTGTATATTTAAAAGTTTTATCAAATTTCGTAAACAAACATTAAATATGACGGAAGTGTGGGACTTAAAAAACATTTATAAATTAAAAATCATTCATTATCATCAAACCGGATATTCTTTCACCAATAAAAAACATACGGCCGAAGATGAGAAATAAGAATTTGAAAATATGGAATGATGCTCTTAATAATTAT